GAATACAGTGCTCTGCTAACTGCTTTGGGCTGATATGTAACACCAATTTTGATTATTTTCCCCAAATTATGTCATTTCAATTTAATATGAACTCACCCACAGCCCCTTTTTTACCACAAACCTTTAAGACATCTGTGGAGTCATGTTTTGTGCTTTGTGTGTATTTTTTAGGTAGCAGATTAACCAAAGCAAAATATCGGCCAGTGCTGGAGATTTAAAGGCCCTATATTACACAAAATTGACTCTTTTGAGCTTTAAACCATGTTATAATTTTGTTAGCTCCTCAAAAAATACCTGGAATACTGTTTTGTTTCATTCACACATGTTTGCGCAATCCTCTATTATTAGTCTGTCTGCAATAGGAATGTAACGATATTCAAATCTCTCAATATGATATTAGCACAATATTCATCTCACGGTACGATATTTATTGCGATATTTTGGAGAGGCTAATGTAATTGTCGATAGGACACGTTTCTGCTTTTAAAATACCTTGACAGGATTTCGGTGTGAATTATTTCCATCATAATCCCAAGAATTCAAGTAAAAAACATATATCTTCATGTTGTCTGCACTGAAATGAATCATGGGATATGTAGTTCCCTGTGTTCATAAGCTGCTGCTACTGTAAAACCATGCATTTAATCAAAGGAACTTGTAATTCGATATATTGTGACAGCCCAAGATATTATTGTGAGACTTTTGACGATACAATACCACAATATTTTGGTTAATGTTACATCACTAGTCTGCATCTCCAAAGCTCAAAATGCTCTGTTCCACCTTGTGATGTCATGTAACGGTAATGTCGTCTTCAAGTTAACAGCTGCCTTTTACCTTTTGTTCAGTAGAGATCGGCACTTTCAGAGATGAAATTATCCAATTGATTCTAGTGAAGGTGGGAGTTTAAAAACACAGCACTTTCTGTATTAACACATGATAATCCAAATCACAAGCTGGAACAGAGAATGTGCAGGGTATGTGTGTCAAACATACGTGAATAAAACAAAACACAACTCCAGGTATGTTAGTGATGAGGAAACATCATTTTAACATACAGTAGATCAGAAAATAGAGTAACATGGGTATGGAAATCAGCCAACCAGTATAAATCAGCCTATCTCTAGTGTGAGCATAATGCAGCAGGACACCCCGAGGTAGAGATGCCCCTGAGATGCCCCAGGTCCCAGATCCCCATTAGGATCTATAGAGAATTAAAGCAGACGATGGAGAGGTTTTTATTCCTTTTCACAGCTTGTAAGACATCACAACAGCAGGCTTTGAGTAAGAAGAGGCTTATCTCCGCACCTGTATCTGCGCTGACAATCTTATAATCGCGCACATTAAGTTCAATTTGAATATCAGATGGCGGGGAATTAGACACATTAGGATAATACGTGTGTGATAAAGAAGCAACAGCATGTGTGGGGATTTAAAATGGATTAAGGCACAGTATGTTGTCATTGTCTTTAAGCATCACCGTGAGGAAATAAAAGTCAAATCGATCAGGCAAATTGCACTTTTAGATCCATGCAGTGGTTGTGTATTCAGTATGGCATCATGTTATTCATTTTACATTTTACAATTTTGTATTTCAACCTGGTCATGAATTGCTTCTGCCTCGGGAGATGTTCCGAGAAGAAAAGATTAAAATGTGAAAAATTAAATGGAGTATTTTAATTCATGTACATGTTAGCTACTATTAATGCGGATATCTAATTTATTCACTATGTGCTGTCAGCAAGAACCCAGATTTGGAAACACAATACAAAAGCTACATTTCAAGCACTCCATGATTTAACACTTATCTATTTATTGTGATGTTGGGGAAGCTCAGATAACAAGTACACACTCTCTGGGATTAATTATAAAGATTCCTCCAACTTAATATGAACTAGCTTAACCTAAAAAAGAAACTTGAAATGCCTTTTTAAAAACACCTTTCTAGGCACCTGTATCTGTTGCTATGACTGGCTCAATGCCATAACAAAGATGGAGACAACACCGGAGTTAACAATTTCAAAAAGATTTAATTTACAAATAAGGAGTTAACGAAGAATAAGATTTACCAAAAATAAGGGATGAGGTGTGAGCGTGTAGGTATCAGTGGTGTAACGGATGTGATGGGGTGAGAGTTGACAGTGTATGTGCTACCTGAATATGTTGTGCAAAAAAAAGACTTAGGCAAACTTCATTGATCAACAAGAAAAATTATTTGGACACAGTAGCTCACACATCACAATTTGCCTGACCAGCCAGTCCCTTCTACATTCTGTTTGGATCCAGAAGGGGCTGGAACCAGACCACAGAGCATGAAAATCCTCTGTCCAAACACAATTTGTCTCACATGTCTCTCAAATGTGGAAGATGGCTCCTCTCGAAAATTCTCATAACATTCAGAACAAAATATATAACTTCTTTTACCTGAGATTATTAATACTTTTGTGCTTTGATTGATGATTATAACATGTCTCTTTTAATGCTTTTACTTCAACAAAAAAGCTTTAAGTGCACATGACAGGTTTTGATGATTCTCTAATTCTCTACCTGTTGCAAATAAAGGTTTTACACCAACCAAGAAGCAATTTTTGAAGTAAGGTTGATTTTTTTTTTTTTTTTTATTACAGGAAGTAGAGTTTTATTATAGAGAGTTCCATATTGCATATCACACTGAAAGAGTTCTATTCAAAAAACTTTTCAACAAATTAAACATATTTTCTTATATTTGTATTTGTCAAATAATAATTTTTGTGTAGATTAGGGGAGTTTATGACCAGTGGACATTATGGTTTCTAGGAGTCAGTTATCAATTTACATTTTAAATATATTGAACTTAAAGAGACAATTTGGAATTTTTGACATAGGGCCTCATTTCCTAGTGAACCAGAGTGTTGGAGACGTGTGGAGACACTTTTTTAAATATTCCATCCAGTCCTTGTATTTGTAGACGTCACTGGTGCTAGGCTAGTGCATGTCATTGGCCATAGTTATCCTGCCACTAAAAACAGTCTTACCCACTCCACAAAACACCCGAAGCAAATCTAATATTATGCCAAACTGTTGATATGAATGTCTTTGTCAATAGAATCATTTTAGAAGTAAAACCAACCTTACATTTGAAGGATTTATGTCTGAGCAGCAGTAGCGAGATGTACTTCCTGATAGAAAGCTTGGCAGCGGCGGACTGATATATGAGAAAATAGTCCCTCAACATATGACGATTCATACAATGCAAGGTTAGTTTTATTTCAAACATTCTATCGACACAGACATTCACATCAATAGTCTGGTGTAATAATAGATTTGTTTCGGATGTTTTGTGGAGTGGGTAAGACTGTTTTTAGAGACAGGCTAACTATGGCCATTGACATAGCACCAGCGACCTGTGCATATACAAGAACTGGATGGAATATTTTTAAAAAGTGTCTCTACACGTCTCCAGCACTCTGGATAATTATGAAACGAGGTCCTACGTCCAAAATTCAGAACTGTCCCTTTAACTGTGTTTTAGTAAACTGAGTAATCCAATCTGTCATAGGCGCTTTAAAACTGACCAGTGCTGCTACAACCCAAGTTATTACCCATTTTTTTCCTGTTCAATGTCTTGACTTCCAAATACCCCCAAGGTCAATTTAAAAGCCCATAAAATCATATCAGCTCAGATTAGGGTTTGGCACTGTTCAAAAGACCACATTTTTTAACACACATGAATGGGCTGAATAAATCCACAACGCCATATGCCTATTTACAGCTGGGTGCTAATAGATACTCCACTTAGTTTTCTGCCTTGTTGGTCTGCCAATATATTCATCTATTAATAATGCCGTCTGAAAATGCTGGCAGGAGCTTTTTCACAGCGTTCTTCACAAACCCAAGATTTATGCATATTGATGTCGCAGTAGGCTCCCTTTGTGCTCCTCCAAGACTTTGTTATTGTTCAGATGAAAAAGTAGCTGCTGGTATTGCTCTAACGTACATCATCAAGGTAAGCTTCAAACTTATAGAAGGTCAGGTTGTCTTAAATTCCACTTTCAAAGGTTTACTCTGCCAGAAATCACCTCAGTAAACACTCCATGAGCCAACTGTGCATTTTATACAGTTCAATTTGAAACTTTTATTGCCCATCTTTATAGCTCTGCTTGGTCAACCTCCTGAGATCCACCAAAAATGTCCATAAGCCAATATGAGCCTGTTTGCTAAACTGCTAAAAGTTTATACCTTTGACATTTGTATTATGTGCCGCTATTGCTTTCTTTGTGAGTACATTATCAATAGTACTTTATGTTTCTTGGCCTGCAAGATTTTCTTCACTTGATTAAAAAAGTACTTTGAACCTGTCTAAACTTTGTTGCTTAGTAACTGAAAAAAATGGAAGGTTGTCTGCTGAGTTGCTTCAAATATTACCACAAAAACTTTGAAGAGGTGAAGTTAAATTTCCCTCACATTGCAATTTTGTTTACTGTGGTCAACCATTGCTGTTACTTTTGTGTCTTCCAATGTTATTCCAAGCAAAGAAACCACTCATTCAGTGTTTGTGCACGCCCTGGGTTTTTGGTTTTGTTATTTATGTAGAGAATTGAGACATTCTATTATGACGACTATGAATCTGTGGATTCTCAGAGAAGTTGTTTTTGAGAGATCTTTATTCAAGTAGTGTTAGTGCAGGCTGTGGATTTTCATGGCCATGCCTTCTCATCACTGAACCACAGTTCAAGATCTTGATTATTGAGCTCTATATAAATACGTGAGCTATGGTGCGTCTGGGGAATTCATTGGCTCAGTGATGGAGTTGAGTCGAGGTACTATACACTGAAAACATATCACAGCTAGTGAAAAGGTTACGCAAATTATATAGACTTATGAAAATGAACATGAATCAGTGGGTCAGAGGCCTACAAGAGCAAAGATCCTTTATGTATACTCTTCTATATTAGATTAAACGTGTTGAAAAAGCAATACATCCTGTGGCCAAGCTAATATCTGCTACTGTTATGTTTCAGGTGAGCAGCACAGCGTCCTGTATCCGAGCTCTGACCAGGCTCATGTACTGCCCCTTCTGTCAGGGCATGCCCTCAGTGAAGCCCTGTAAGAACTACTGCCTCAACGTCATGAAGGGCTGCCTGGCCAATCAGGCCGACCTCGACCCAGAGTGGAATCAGTACATTGGTAAGACTTACAAGAAGTTAGACTCACCAGAAGTTTTGTTTTCATTTTGTTTATTGCACCAAAACTAAAACAGGCGTCCATACTCCACAAACTCCACTGACTCTTATCTGGCCACAATGAGGGCCGCCTCCTGCTTGTTTCAGTGGAAATCTTGTTCCTTTAGTTATAATATTCCACACTATGGCATAAAACATCTGTCTCCATGGAGAATGTTCCGAAATATGGTTTTCACTTTCTATTTCCATGTCCAAGTTATACACTGTACCTTTAAAGTTGTAGATATCTTAAACTGTCTTCAATATATACAGCATGAGCACTTTCTCTCCTGTGTAGAAGTGTTGGTGAGTTTTACATTTTAATGCTGAGAAAAATAAATTCAGTTAAAATATATCCAGGGCAGTACAATTGGTTGGCAAAGCATCATCTAGTGTTAAATTTAAAGATGCACTGTGTAATAATTTTATTGGTGCATTCATCTGTGCTGTGAAAATGTGAAGGCAAGTAAAAAGCCCTTTGAGATGACTCAAAATGTGTACAAATTCTGCATTAACAACCATATATCAAGTGACACAAGAGGTTTTAAAGGACAGACTGAGAGTCGGTGTTGAGTGGGTGACAACGGTAATAGCTGACAGCACCTAAATACATTCACATCTCCCCTCATTTACATTTGCAGTCTGTTTAGCATTGCATTTCCGACATTTAGGACGCATTGAAGTTCATTCCTCCGCTGGCATGTTGCTTTTTTGTTTGCCGCTGATTGTTGTGACAAATGAAAACGAAGTAGGGTCAAAATGTTTACCTTGCATGTGTCGAGTGGATTTCAAAGCTGCGTTTAGACTCAGATTCTCTTCTCATATTTTGACAACATGAGTCCCATTGACACTCTCCAGGGCTCGGGGATGAGTGCAGGTTTTATCTGTCGTTCTTGTGCCGAGCGGTTCTCAGCGTGAGTTTATTCATGGGACGATGCTCTCCCGCTGTGCTAAATGGAGACTTGTAATGGGGCAAAAGAACGCTGCAGGGGGCGCCACATGTGTAGAGTGCGTCGGGAGCTGACACAAAAGAGTGCAAATGAAAGCGAGATTTAAAGATGTTTAAAAATGTTTTATTATGATTCTACATGCTTAGCTCCTGCTGCTAAATACAAATGGTTGTCTTTTATGTGTGTAGACAGAGAGAGCGTGACCAGGCTGCTGTAATAACACAAGCTCCATTTCTTGGCTGCTGATTATATATCATGGTAGTCATGGGAAATATGCAAAATAATAATCATAATAATTTCTTGGAGTCAGATCATGATATCGACTTCATCATGATTCATAGATTTAAAAGTATATTGTGTAACTCTTCTGGAGTAGGGTTCGTCATCTGTTTATGACTTTTATGACATATATGACGTCGCTCTGCCTGGAATGTTTAAACATCTCTACTGTGCATTTATTAAATTACAGGTGATTTTATAGCTCAAAAATACTCAGGAAAACAGGCATCCCCGCTCAGAGTGACTGTAAGCAAGGTCGTCCCTCCACAGATCTGACCTGTAACTTGGTCTGGTTTGGTCTCCATGAAGATAGAAAGGACTCATGTTATACTATGAAATATTCCAGATGAAGCAATAACATCTCCAAGAAGAAATGCATTGATGGACTCTCCACCAGAAAAGTTTGAGTAAAATGTGTTCAGTTTGTACAGATATTGAATAAACTTCTCTTGTGGTCAGAATAAGTCCTCTTCGTGCTGTCTGCATCAAATCCAAAACTGTTTTGTCTGATATTCAGGAAGTGCATGTTGGCATTCTAGTTATTGGTAGCTTTACGGTAACAGCAAAACTCTGTTCTGGTGTCTGAGAGTTGTGAAATGTGTGAAATGTGAAAACTCATTGTGATGAATAATTAGGATGTTCGTAATTCATAAGGTAAGTGAGGAATAACTTTGGGACAACAGTATTTTTATGATTTAAAATTATTTTTTATGTTTTGAAGACACTAAAAATATCCGGATAGTTGACCAAGAGGAGGTGCGGATGGGGAAAAGTATCTGTATTTGATCGCACGGGACATTAAACAAAAGTGCATTTTTATGACCATATTGCCCAGCCCTACTTCTCGGTGACCTTTTAAAAATAATTGAGGGGTGATAATAGTGGTGTAATGAATATAATTCCATATGAAAAGTTTGAGACAGAAAATAATCTGGCTGTAAAATGAACTTTATGCTTTATTACTTGGAGGCAGCTCTCACTCCCTGTGCTCAGGTATCAACATGCTGATACAACTGTGGAGAAGAGATGCTTTTTCAGTTCCAACACCAATTCTGATACTATAGCATTAAGTATCTGTCGATACCTAATGTGAGTCCAGTGCAAAGACTGAGAAAAGCATTTATTTCCTTTAAAACAAAAATAAAATAAAGCAAAACAGATCCAAATGTGCTGGAGCTGTATTTATCCCTCCAGTAACCACAGAACAGTTTTGTGTAAATAAAAATTCAAACATTATGAGACTTTCTGGGCAGACTATACAACCAGTAAATAGTTTTATTACATCAATTTATATGTTCAACCAGGATATCAGCTGAGCTAATATTTGGAAGCTGATATCCAGTCCAGCTATTTTTTTAGTACTGGCGCCAATATCGGATACCAGTATCAGATCTGTGCATCCTTACTGTGGAGTACTGCAACAGCCCTGCACTTCATTCTCTCAGATTCAGTCTATTTTTACCTAAACTTCCTGAATAGTGTTGATCATAACTGGAGCTACTTCGCAGGTGTGGCAAACATGTCTCTTCTCCATCACTTTAGGAAAAGCTTAAGTTGACACGTACACAGTACTTGGTGTTAAACCTGCAAACTTTGTGCTAACTACCAGACTTGTGAATCAAATGCCAAGAAACCGTTATTATACAGTTGAAAAATTTACCTGAATTGTCACTTTTTCACCACCCCCACTGACCTCCGAGCACTCAAACAGAACTGCTTCAGTCATTTTCCAAAGCCTAATAAAATTACATTACCAAACGCTAATGGGCCCCCGTTGGACAACTTTTTTGGCATTAGTAATATATAGTGACCTTTTTGTCCTTCAGCAAGTCATAAAAAGTATTTTTTGCTGGAAGAGGGTGGGCTCAGGGCTGGGCGGCTCAGACCAATGGGACCAAATGGACCAGCGAACCAAAACAAAGAGCTTAAAGGGGGTAAAAATCAGCAAACGGCTTTGGGCTGCACTGTTGAGTCTCTGTGGTAAAAACAGGGACTCGCACGTGGAAAAAAAAACAAATGATTGATTTTTTTTTTTTTTTACAAATACAGGAAAAGCAAAGAAATATATTCCTTGTTTCAGTGTTTTGGTATGTTTTGTTATGCTAATAACAACTGTAACCATGTAATCATAAAGACTGCATATTAATCATGCCTGTTTGGCTGGTGAATCATACATTTTTAGGTTTTTGTCTGAAGTGGAGACGTCATGGCGGCAGGGCCGGCTCTTGGAGGGCATACAAGCTGCACTGCGGCAAGAGAAAGGGCAAGACTGACCGGTGTCAGCATGTTGTACATAGAAGCACTTTCCCTTAAAAGCGCACAGTTGGGCCATGTAAACACGCATTAGTGAACTTCAGTCACCTCAGAATACTCCACTCCTCATACACTCAACACTTTACACAGTTGTTGCTTGTTTTCATATTCCACGCTTGTATTTTGCAATTGGGAGCTTAACCCCAGGTGTCAAACAATAGTAAACAGCGCTCCATTCACCTCACATACTTTTTCAGCAAAACATGTTTCTCTCTGCACAATAACTCAAAATATTCTGAAACTTTTATCAGCTGAAAGTATTCACCTAAAAGTCTTTTTCTCAACTCCACAGGAGATTCTCAAAATGGAGGCAAAGCTAACCTGCTAGAAACCATATCATAGATGGTTGACTTATTTGTTAGACCGTTATCATAAATACACATAATGATGAGCAATGATCTTTGAAGAATTCTGCAAAAAATTCCCACCCACACTAATACAGAAGCTTCATTCGGAGAGGTCAGTGAAGGATATGATGGAGAATGAATATTTAGTGAACTGTCTAGCAATAGCTTAATCTGATCAGGTTTAAATGATAATTACAACCGTGTTAATGCCCCTCAACATTGTCAACTGTAAAAACGAACCCTGTTGTTCTTTTACATTACAAGGCTTTGTGTTAATGGGGAGCAAAACAGCACATGTCAAATCCTTTGCTCAACGTTTAATCAACAAAGTCAATTAAGAGCCCTGCTGTTACAATGTTCACTCTGTTTATTCAATAGTTAGAGTCACATCTGAATATGCATCACTTTGTAATATTATAATGTCTCTCCACGGAGTCCTCACTAACTACTGGGGTCACAGAATCCCTGCTAAGAAATCCAAAACTGTTTGTCTAAGCTGATACAGTAACTCCATCCTAGAAGTAGAGCTGTTAGTTGGCTAGAAAAGTGCCTGACCATGTGTCTGACCTAGACCATTTACAAGACTACAACTGCACAGGAGTTCATGCAAAAAAAAAATGAAAAAAACAACTATTTACAGTAAAGTACTAAGACAGTGTATTTATAGTTGTATGTAAAAAGGCAGATTAAAGCTTTCACTACCAAATCTTCAAATAGTTCACTTCATGCATTTCCTTTCTTGCTGTTGTTTAATATAAGTCCTTAATCAAAATAAAATAAATGAGCTAATACAAATTGTGGTTGCCTAAAACTCCATTGACCGATAACTAAGAGTAAGAGCCGACAGCCCCACTGTGAAGAACTTTGAGTATCATTTTCAAGATCAAAAGTACTTGTACCCTCAATAAAACATCTGACTTTTCATTCTGACTTTTATTTTATTTTGATTTGCTGTTTTGACTTGCTAGAAAACATTTGGGAGTGAAAAGACAGGGATTTTGCTCTGCTGGTGAAGACTCTACATACAGAAATAAATTGTGGGTGCGTAATGATAGCAAAATCTCTCGGTACGATAA